AGATGGACGCTAATTCGTGAGACGAATCTATTAAACCTAATTAATCCATCATTAGCACATGTTTACTATAGCACCACATTATCAAATCATAGACTAATTAGGCTTAATAGAGTCGTCTTGTAAATTAGCCTCCATCGGTGCAATTAGTTTTGTAGTTAGTCTATGTTTAATAATCCTAATTAGTAACCAAACATTCGATGTGACAGGGACTAAACTTTAGGAGGTGGAACCAAACACCCCCTTTATGCGTCTGGCAGAAAATCCCGTCTTCCATGCAAGGACCAAGCTACATAAGAGAAAAGGTTCTTGAGGGAGAGATTGAAATGGTGCCCACAAAGATAGATAAGCAAATTGTCGATATACTCACGAAAGGACTCAATAATAATGTCAAGTTTGAAAAGAGGCGCTCGGCATAGTCTACAGGACTACAATAGAAGGAAGTTTGCATTGAGGGGAAGTGTTTAAGATTACATAGGTTTTCGAAAAAAAATAGGTTTTCGAAGTGTTGAAGATTACATTGCAAACTTCTAGAAGCTTCTACACTTCTCGTGATGCTAGAGGCATGAAGCTACTAGATATTATTACTATGGAAAATTAGAATATTATAGAACATATATAGATTTATCTTCAAACTATCTATAGAGGCACCCCTCCTTGGCATGCTATACCATCCAAGAGAATGACATGCAAATTGATCTCAACATTAAGGCTTATCAAAATACCAGAATAGCACTAGTTATCGCCGATCTCAGAGATTCTTGTCTTCTGACCCAATTCTATCACCTTTCTGATGTCATTGCTATCTATCTCGATTTTCACATGATCTTCAAAATGTGCCAGGATATAAAACATGTCAACCATGGCTTCCGGCCTAGGAAAATCATTGCACAATTCACCGTTAGAATAATTGATAGACAAGTCATATAATATATAGCAAAAAATAAAAACGAATAAGTGTCTGTCTTACCCTTTTTGAATGAGCTGATCCTATACCATCTTCATTGGCTTAAGCAACGTTGTAAACACAAACAATGTGCTCCAGTGCTCTTCTTCGCCAATCACAATGCAACGCTGAAAGCCCACCAAATAGAGATCGGTGTCTATGATAAACAATTCTACCATCATATTTGGGGCTTCATCACACCCTAGTCGGATCCTGTGGTGACTAATTCCGGTTAAGGGATTTTCTTGTGGAAGCATAGGAACGTGTTCTCTAATCAAAACAGAAGCTATCGCACGGGCACGACGCAGCCGCACTGCTATTTATACAGGTAGCTCGGTGGAAGCATTAGTGATATTGAAAATCAACATAGGAATGTCCTACACACCACAAAATAATATGGGCATAGTTGTTAGCATTGAGCTTGCCACTGAAAGTAATATCTTTTCATTTTAAAATTTGAGAAACGAGCTTGCCATGCTTCTCGAATTGTCAGTTTACCAAACATACAGTTTAGTACCAATCTGGCAATGTATCCTCAAGAAGCTAACAGTATGGTGAAACGTGAATTAGCAAAAAGATATGTTGCATGTGGACCTTTTTAATCATTTTAAGTGAGAAAATAATGCAGGCCTACAGATAAAACTAGAGTTGCTACGAACTCTGCAAAGTTCAGTCTATGACCAAGATCTAGGAAATGAATCACAGACTAATACATAGGCAATATTGAGATGAAAGAATGAAATCGATGACCATTCTTGTGTCTAATTATTGCTAACATAGCTGATTAAATGATGGCCAACATGTCCTAGTTATGTTTAAACCTCAAGTTGCTCTTCCACACACACTTTTCTCTGTACCATTATTCCCTTTTTTTCTCGCCGTTTTAGTGGCCATTTCTTAGAAATGATTGAACTTTACCACAACAAGTACTGATAGCTATGATAATCAATTATGTTTTCTTTTCAAAGGAAATGTTTTTCGAGCTACTAAAGAGTTTGCTTCAAGTGAGAACCCATTATTCACTTTGCCCAATGTTGATCTCACTGTACGGTAATACATTAATACTATTTCCATCATATAAAATATAAAGAATCTTAAGTTGTCTTAAGTTAAATAATCATGAGTATAGCTAAATATATAAAGATAGTAATATTTACAATCATTTTATCTATTTGATACAGCAGATGCTAATATTTTTATTGACAAACTTATGGTATTTGACTTAGAACAAACCGCAATATAATGTTTTTAGGAAGCAATATAGTCACGTTCAAACAAAATTTTTATAGGAAGACAGCTGTGGGTGTGGGAGTAGCTGCTCGGGCACAGGCGCACAGCACGACCGTAGAGTGAAGGAGCATCAGCTATTCTATTCAGCTCTTGTGACTTGTGAGCCCAGACAAGTCACAGTTGCTCTTCCACGCACTTTCCTCTCTGTCATTATTATTTCTTTCTTTTTCCCACAAGTTCAGTGGCCATTTCTCAGAAATGATTGAACACGACGGTTGAACCCAACAACTATTGATGACTATCAAAGTCAATTCCTTTTTCTTTCAAGGAAAATGCTTTCCTTTTATTTATTTATTTATTTTTTGGATCAGCTCCTGTGAGCCCAGTGTCCAGACAAGCCACAGCCCAGAGCCCGCAGGCCACAGCTCATGTCTACTCCTACGAAAGGACAAAGGAGCCAAGCACAACTCCAATCCAAACAAAGTATAGGTCGCGCAGCTGTGCAGCAACCAACCGCCCCAAGTCCCGGCTCGAATTGGCATTGCGTCGGCCTTTGAATCTTCTACGTAGTCCCAACCTATTATGCGCAGCGCACCACACTCTGCCGACCTAGAGGCCACCTAACAAATGGAACGCAGTCGTGGTGGCACTGGCAGCACGCAACCACCGTCTCTCAACATGGGGGCGGCGCCGTTGGCCATGCGCATTGCTTTATTTGCTTTGCGTCCGTCCGTCCCGGCCCTTTGCGCACCGGAGCAAAGCAACCTCGCGCACGGCCACGGCCGAACGCCACAAATGGACATGTCGCTCGCTGCGTGCCCGCTCGCTATGCACTGCACGGTGCATTGGGCCCTTTTCTTTTCTCCCCCAGTCCCCGCCTAGCTCATCAGCTGAGTGCGAGTCCGATGCACGCCCCGGCGGCTTTTTCCATTTCGTGTCGAGGAGGCGCGCCGACGAGTCCCTTTCGCGTCGCCTTTTGCTGGAAAGCACATGCACGTACTCCCCCGCCGAGGCAAGAGCGCCACAACCACAAGAGCTCCCTCTCCAGTTCGATCTATGCGACGACGGCCTGACTCGGAGCACCACAAGCCGCTCGCTCGGCTGAAGCTGAAGCTGAACCCACTAGCGTAGCGTCACGCACAGACGTTGGTTCGTTCTCAGACGGAACCCGTCCGTCCCTGTCGCTTGTTTGATTATACTAAGCGATCGAGCACGCTTATTTTCCGTGCTGTCGACCGAGGCGAGCAGCACTAGTCCTCCGTCGTACGTGTTGCTGGGTCACATTGGGTACCCAGAGCCGTGCGGCACGCAGGGCAGGCACCGACTCGTCTCAGTCTCGCCGCTCACGGTCACGGCGTCGTTTTCCGGCTAAGAAAATGGTCGGATCTCACACGCGACGATTGGGCGAGTCACGGCACTCGGCGCCGATGGGATCTGTCTGCCTGAGTGGAGTCTCAAATCTGAACTCTCTACGGGCGACCCCCTCTCTCACAAGTCATAGAAGGACATGCGTCGCGGCAACAATAGCTAAGGTGGTGTTTGTTGACCCTCCTAAATTTTAGTCGTTGTCCCATCGAATATTTAACATATGTATGGAGTATTAAATATAGACTAATTACAAAACTAATTACATAGTTTGTGATTAATTTGCGAGATGATTCTTTTAAACCTAATTAGCTCATGATTTGACAATATGATGCTACAGTAAACATATGCTAATGACAGATTAATTAGGCTTAAAAAATTCGTCTCGTGGAGTACTGACGGATTATGTAATTTATTTTTTTATTAGTATCCAAACACCTCATGTAATATCCTCCCAACACACCTCCTAAATTTTAGTCACCGGATCCAACCACCACCTAAAGAAATCTAATCTACAAGCTGTTCGGTTGTGCGGATGATAAATCGGCTAAGACTGTTTTATTGTGAGAGAAAAACACTGCGCCAGTTTTAATCACCGGAACGTGAAGCACACTAGGTAGGCAACCGAACGGCACCAATAAACACCATTAACAAGTGCATAATTGAGACTACCGGCTCGATCGATCGTTCAGCTCAATGATAAATGCTCCTACGACGCGCCAAACCGCTCCATCAACATCCATCCACACTCCCGAGAGCCGCACATTCATTCATTCGCAAGGAAAGAGACGCGAAAGCGACGCCGTGAAGTAGAGCCGTGCATTTCTCGTGGGTCACAAGTAGCGGGTGGACCATCATTTGGATCGTAGGATAACACATCATTATTGGTCAAATCTGGCCAGTAAGGATAATCTACTCAGTAGTTAAGAAAACTTCTAACGTATAGTATATGTCTAGTAATATATCTCGTTGTTGTGTCAGAATTCAGAAATGGGTGGCTTCAGATCTAAACAAAAAAAAAAAAATTGGTGGCATGTGTGTTCCGTCTCAGATTTTCCAACTCACACCAGACACTCTTACCATTTATCATAACGTGGCAAAGTTTTCAGATTGCAATGTGACACGTCGAATGCAATTTTGCGGTGACCATTTTCGTTTCCAAAAAACACTAAAGAAAAAAGGAGAAGAAAATGAAAACCCATCCAAAAATGAAATAACTGAGACACTTGCTGCGTCCCCGTAGCGTACTCCATTTATAAATAGCCCCGCACCACAGCAGTAGAGGGCCCCTCTCTCTTCTCCTCCCTCCCTCCTGGTCCTGGTCCTGGGTCCTGCCCCCTCCCCTCCAAGCTTCAAGGAAACACCCAAGCGCTTCCTTCTTCCTAGTGAGGAGACTAAACGCGATTAGGAGCAGCGAATCATATACTAGTAGCCAGCCTATAGTTAGAGTTGGATCTGAGCAATGAGGGAGGAGCAGGCGGCGCCAAAGCCGGAGGCCGCGGCCACGGCGCTGGAGCTGACGGGGTTCGTCATGAGCGCAGAGGAGGCCGAGCGCAAGGCGGCGGCCGCCGGCGTGGCGACCGTGCAGGACCTGCTGCCGCTTCTGGTCCCGTCCGCGAGGAAGCGCGCGCGCGCCCCGATCTCGCACTTCCAAGTGGGCGCCGTGGGGCTGGGCGCCAGCGGCCGCGTCTACGCCGGCGTCAACCTCGAGTTCCGCGGCCTCCCGCTGTGCCACTCCGTCCACGCGGAGCAGTTCCTCGTGGCCAACGCCGCCGCCGCGGGGGAGTCCGCGCTGCGCGCCGTCGCCGTCTCCCACATGCCCTGCGGCCACTGCCGTCAGTTCCTCCAGGAGATCCGCGGCGCGGCGGGCATCCAGATCCTCGTGACCAGCGACGCCGAGCAGGGCTGCGCGCCCGAGTGGCGCACGGTGGCGTCCCTCCTCCTCCGCCCCTTCGGGCCCCACGATCTCCTCGACGAGAGTGTGCCCCTCGTCCTCGAGGCGCACGACAACGCCCTGGGCGATCCCGTCGTCACCGCGGTCGCCAATGGCTTCGCCCCCGGCGACCTGGATGCGCGCCTGAAGGAGGCCGCGGAGGCGGCCGCGCGGGCGGCGCACGTGCCGTACAGCCAGTGTCCGTCGGGCTTCGCGGTGGCGGACGGCGACGGCAGGATCTACGCCGGTGGCTGCCTGGAGTCCGCCGCCTACAACCCGACGCTGGGCCCCGTCCAGGCGGCCATCATTGCGATGGTGGCGGCCGGAGGCGGCCCCGCCGGGGACGTGGTCGCGGCGGCGCTCGTGGAGAAGGAGCAGGCGGCGGTGGCCCAGGAGGCGACGACCAGGATCTTCCTCGACGCCGTGGCCCCACATGCCAGCTTCCACGTCTACAAGTACAGGCCGTCCGATGCTTGATGAGCTTCTGTGGCGGTGGAATGGGCAGGAACGTGATCGAGATAATGTTCATAAAAAAATAATTTAAGAATAAAATCTTGTGCAGTTGCCAGGACTGTGATGTGGGGTCTACTTACTCAGCGTGATTATCGTTCTTCTATTGCCACTTGTGTTCACTCTACTGTACTTATTCAGATTGTTATCTGATTTAATGGTTGGCCTGAGCCAGATTAGTTTTTCTTTGCCGCATTTGACAGAGAGTAACATCTATATTACCGGCTGCTACCACTTGCCAGCGTGTGTTCTATTCTTAGTTTCTCTAATCTGCTCCAAATTTCCTTCTTCCCGAAAGACCATAAAATAGTCATGTATGCTAAGTTATTTGGACTTGAGGCCTTTCACTGATGGATGTAGGCAAGGTTCCACAACATCAAGGTACGTGCTTTGTTTTTTTTTTTTCTTTCATATGATTCATCCGACTTAGGTTTCTGTAGGTTGTTCTCTGCTCAGTTTCTGAAGTCTGAACCTGCCACAGTGCCTGTGTAGAATGTGCTTATGTGCATTGCCACACTCTACGCCTGAAAAATCAAGTGAGGTTCTTGCGCTCGCTTCCTTATCTCTGTTAGTATTTCATTATTAATAGGTAACCGACATATAAGACAATTTTGTTGTCTATGTAATCCCACAGGATATGGAATTTAACGGGTTGATACTAAAATAACTTTTCTTCATGTGATTCTAGTATGCTTAGCTAAGGCGTGTCCTGCGTGGGTATATATGGATTTTAATAATTTAATTCAATTCACTATGACAGTTCCTCTGTTAGCCGTTCTGAACTGATGCCTTCCTTTTGTAAAACAGTTACCCTGTAAAACAATTGATCTTTTGGACATAAATTCCTTTCATTTACTGTTGGCACTGTCCGTATAACCGTATCTGATGCTTTACTTATAAAACAATTCCATAATTTACCAGCCATTTGCAAAGGATTTACATCTTAATGAGATGACGTGATGAAATGTCAAGAAATCATGTGGAAGAATGATGTACCTAGTTCGACTAACTGTACAACCGAAACGTGAGACATGTGCCATATACATCCAACTAGAACTAATCCTTCGGGTGGCCGATCTGAAATTTTACTCTAATTTGCACCTTTCAGTTCTCCAAAGCCCTTTTTTGAACGGTAATGCTGCAGTCAAGGCGTCCGTCGCCCGGACACTTGATTGCTGGGTCTGCGGACCGGCCCAAGCAACTTGCCTGTAGCAAATGTCACACGTGGCCCTATCTCCATTGCGCATCGCTCCTCCCTCATAGCCTCATAGTCACAAGCTTCCAACCTCCTGTGTGCGGACCCACACTCAGAGGCCTCCCTCGCGGTCTCGCCTCCGGCAACGATGCCCGCCGCCACGCGCCGGTGTCCGCCCACCTCCTCTTACTTGTCCCACTTCCTTCTCCTCCCCGCACTGTGCTATCCGCCCACCGCGGTAGCTCCACTGAGACGACAAGCCTCCACGATGGATGCTCCAACAAGCAGGCGAGGGGAGGAGCTTCGAGTGATGCCGCCCCGCTGGCGAGTTGCCTACCTGCCGTCGCACCGGCGAGCTCCATGCGCCGCTGCCAACCTTCGCGCCGACGTTGAGCTCCACACCGATGAGCCTCCATTCATCCAAGCAGCAAGGTGATATTGCGCTGAAAGTGCATGTTGCAAGCGTATGTTTCAAGTGTTTTATATGTATATTGCAAGTGTTTTATATCGATGTTGCATATGTTGCAATGACTACACACATATGTTTCAAGTGTATGTTCTAAATATTTTATCTATTTCAGACGTATGTTGTAAAATTAGATCGGGATGTTGCATATATATGCAAGTGTTTTAGGTGCTTTATACGTAGATTGCAAGTATTTCATCTTGATGTTAGCATATTTTTGCAATGGCTGCACACGTGTTTCAAGTTTTTTCTAATATTTTTGCAAGTGTTTCAGATGTATGTTGCAAGTTTTTCAGCTGTTTCGGACGTATGTTGCAAGTGTTTTATCTGGATGTTGCGAAAGGAGATCGAGTGTTACACATGCTGCAATGCGCGTGAGAAGCGGAGGGGGCGTGAGCGGTCCCCACACACGAGCCCCGTCTGGACACGCGAAACGCAAGCGCGGTGGGGTGTGCTGGCACGAGCGCGGGAAACACAGAGTGCAGTTGAGCATCCGGACACGGGCGTTCGGACATCTGAGCGCTAGCACTGTTGTTTTTGGAACCCTAGCCCTACAGTCTTGTCAAACAACAAAAACACTCCTAGTCCTGTGTTCCAAAATTAGCTGCTATTGCTTTGCTTGAAAGAAATTTAAAAACTGATTTGAAATTCACCTCATAAACTGACTTGGCTGACGACTGACGTACCCAGCAGAGGGAGCTTTCTCGTGCCGTCACTGCAATCTTGGACCCACATGACAGCGAAATAGGGGCAACGTACCAAACTACCAACGAACCCAATCCCAATGCGAGATATGTCTGCGCTCCTGCGACGCGCATGGCGCCACGACACCCCGTGGCCTTGGGCGGCGCTCGCACATGAGTACATGGCGCTCGGTGGCCTCGCGTCGCGCTACTCACTCACCGACCCACCGGCACCGCGCCACGGCCGCGTCGTCTCCACAGGAGTCTATGGCCACCCTCGCGCCACGGTCGCATCTCCTCCTCGGCCTGACAAGGCCGCAGCAGCAGCAGCCTACAGCGCTTCGTGCCTGCGCCGCCTTCTCCCGCTCTCGCCACGCGCCACTCTCACCGCGGGCCGCGCAGCCGCGGCGCGTCTTCCTCGGCGTCGGCGCCACCTTCATCGACCAGGTCACCCGCATGGCCTCCGGCGGCACCTCGTCCCGCTCTTTTGTTGCCGGAGCGAGGCCGAGGCAAGGGGTTTCCCCAGTCGAGCAGGTTTTTAGGAGCTACCTTTTTCGAAAATATTGCTACAAAGCTGTACTGGTTTTTGTACTCGGACCTGGTTAATGGAGATCTATTGTAGATTCTGAAGAATGTGGAGTGGCCTGATGAGTTCCCTTTCAAGCCTGAGGACTTCAGCCGCTTCGACAAGTAAGTTGCTTCTTCAGCCAATCAGCCAGCAGGCCTTGCTGCTGCCACTAGTAGTCACTATGTCTGACCTTGTAACCTATGGAATAATTCAGCACTGGCAGATTGATTTTAGCGTACTTAGCAACAATCTTGACATAATTTGAGCAGACGGGGTTTACATTTTGATTACTTGCAGATCATCAGATACTCTGTTCTACTCAGTTCCACGTTTTGTCACTCACATTGACGACGAAGCAATCCGAGCTCTCACAGATTACTACTCTGAAGTTCTTCCTCCAAGTAATACTCCTGGGGTGGCCATTCTGGACATGTGCAGCAGCTGGGTAGGATTTTTGCTAGTCACCACTTCTGTTCCTTTTTTTTTGAAAGAAATCACCACTTCCGTTCTTATGTGTCACTACTATGAAGTTTCTTATGTACCGTATCCACGTTATGCAGGTGAGCCACTATCCTCCCAGTTACAAACAGGAGAAGATCGTAGGGATGGGTATGAATGAAGATGAACTAAAAAGGAATTCGGTATTATCTATTACGTACTGACTAAATTAGCACACTTTTGTAAACGTGATGCATTCATAGCTTCCCATTATAGAAGTATTCATCAACATTCTGAATAGCTCAAGTGGCTAGTTTGGTGTCGTGCTCGATTTATTCCACTTAAAATTTTTAGGATAGCTTCAGGATAGCAGCCACATAATTTTTGGAGAGTAAGAGATGGTAGATTGGTAATTGATTATTTAATTATTTCAGCAAGTTAGGGCCTCATTTGGCGCAGCTCTAGCTCTGACATGGTGAATCTATAGTTTGTAATGTAAATTAAAGTAGTTTAAATATCTATATTTAATCTAAATTAAAAACGAAATGAGTCATGCAAATGCACTCAACATGCCTACAGCTCCAGATCAAAGATTTTGTAGAGCTACAAATACCCAGGTCTAAGAAATCCACAAATCTCCTGGATGCCAAACAGGGACTTAATCCTTAGTTGCTCCTGATAAGGAGAGCAAAAACCTGCTAATAGATCAGTCTTCCTATGACTACATGTGAGAGTAGGACTATCAACAAGTGCAATTTGCACAGTTACTTTTCCTTTGATGATAGTTTTGGCTTACAAACGTTTATGTTAACATGAGCTCTAGGATCTATTTTTATTTTACAAACTGCAAACACGTATCTTATATGCAGTAATGTTGGAGTTTAGTCAGTAACTTTACATTGAGATCAGTTTAACAGCCTGTTCGCTGGTTGGTTTCTGGGCTGATAAGCCCGGCTGGTGCTGGTTTGATGTGAGAGGAAAACACTGTATCATGACTGATAAGCCCTGGCTGAAACAAACAAGCGAACAGACTGTAAATCATCACAGATAAGCGATGCACCTTAACTAATATGAGTCAGCAAGTGGTACTTCCTTTGAGCTGCTTTGCTAAACCTATATGTTGACATAGCTTTTTGTTGTTTTTTTACGACAATAGGTATTGACTGAGTATGTCGTGCAAGACCTCAATGTGAACCCAAAGCTTCCTTTCGAAGATAACAGTTTCGATGTTATCACCAATGTGGTACTGTGTCCTCTATATTGTATTCTTGTTAAAAGAAGAGATTATACGATGTAGTGCAAAGTGTTACTCACTCCATTCCAAATTATAAGTTATAGGACGTTTTGGCTTTTCTAGATGCATAGATTTTGCTATGCACTTAGATATAGACTATGTCTAGATACATAGCAAAAGTAATGTATCCAAAAAAATCAAAACATCTTATAATTTCGAATGGAGGAAGTATTACTTGAATAGCATTGTGAATTGGAGCGCAAAGATTGTTTACATTATCTGATAGTAGCACTTCTTTGTTAGTAGGTTAGTGTAGATTACCTGACAAAACCAATAGATGTTTTTAAGGAGATGCGACGAATACTCAAGCCAAGCGGCCTTGCCATAATGAGGTAACATCCTGTCCAGAATGACACGTGCCATTGACCAGAACTACTTTTGGATATCGTAGCATGCATTACCATATTTTGGTGGTAAGGATCTCAAATTCTAGTTCTAACTTTGGATATAGCTTTTCAAATCGGTGCTTTTGGACAAAAGCTATATCTATATGGACATCAACTGGTGATGCCGATCATGCTTGGATAGTTGGAGCTTACTTCCATTATGCTGGAGGTTTTGAACCTCCCCAGGTATGTACTGTTGAATAGTTGGTGCATTCCCTAAAAAAGATAAAGAAGAACTAGGGCTTCCAAGGTTTTTAATTGCAAGCTAATAAGGCCTCCACTGGAAGCTATAAAAAACTACTAGGGATATAATGACAGTTATTTCATTTAGCAGTTTAACAAAAACATGGAAAGGAAAATTCATGAACGCAAAGACTCAAACATATACTCAGGGCTCTAAGAAAACATGTCTCCTGGTCCATTACTTAACAATCATTCAATCAATCAATATACTCATGGCTATAATCAGTATTCATATTCATTCTACATTAAACAATCTAACAACTCAACAGTTATACAATTGTTCAATTATTAATTAAAGCAAATATTAAATATTTGTCTCGGTCAAATATTAGCGACGGTAAAAAAGTCGCAACTAAGCAAATATCGGTGTTCAGCAATTGACAATATCATATATAACTTTAGGCCTCCTAAAAGGTTATAGCTTTGCTATTGCGGTGCTATTTAGAACCTTGGTGAATTCCAAAAATGATACTTTTGTCTATTTTCTCCTTTGTTTGCGTGAACATGTTTCTACCTATCAAGTTAATAGCCTTCTAGACATTTGTAGTGCGTTGGAATAAAAATCCAGCTACCCCTGTATATATTTATAGTGCTCTTTAATTAATGTGTTCAAATCAATCCCATGATCAAATGTTTTTTCTTTAATTTCTGCAGGCAGTTGATATATCTCCTAATCCAGGACGAACTGACCCAATGTATGTTGTATGCTCAAGAAAGAAAATAGGGTAAACTAAATAATGTATTTTGCAAGGTTTGTCCCTCCTTCCTCTCTGTTGATTCTAGTGTTTGATGAGATTTCATTCAACAATCTCTCTAGTGTGCATGTATATTTGTAGTGCTATCAAGAAACAAATAAAGGGGAAAACAAGAAGAAGCAAGTTGCTTGGCCCTGATCGCCTGTACTTGATTGGTGAGCTGATGCAGGTAGCGCGCGTGCATCATGTTTCCGTGAGCAATGCTACGATAGGAAAAGGAAGTAACACTACTGCACAGACTATTTATAGATGCGGTCAGATTCACTTTGTAGATTGTAGCGACCGTCTTTACTAAAGCTCTGTAGAAATGATTTTTTAAATAATAGTATTTTATAAAATAATTGCAGATATGGATGCTAGTTTCACCAAATTGCAAATCTAACACAAAACTGCAAACCTAGCGTCTAGTTAACAGTTCAGTGGCCGATAGGGTACCTATCGTCAACTGGAGGGCTGATAGGCCTATATGAAATGTGATTGTGACTCGATCCTAGAGGCCCAAGACAGCAAATAGGGTCCAACTTGGTTATTCTCGGCTTAGGGCGTCCTTAACAGCGATCCTAAATTGCCAGGTGATGTGGCAGTGAGAGACTAAAAAATTAAAGTTAAGAGTAAATTCACGCATCACGAGGTGAAGCCAAGACACAGCGTTCATTGATATATATGCGAGACTATCGCTTTGCACCTCGCCAGTCTATTCCTTTTCTCATTCTTTCTCTTCCTCATTGGACAAAATCTGAGACATGATAGCGACTTCGACCACCGTTGAGGCCACCCTTATGGATGGTCGATTAGGCTTGTCAGCCACTGGATTGTCGACTATCCAGTTGCCAGCAAGCCCTCTCTCTCTCTCTCTCTATTTTTTGACTTTTTTTAACAATATAATATGTAATTTGAATTTTTGTTGTTGTACATTATAACAATTCCAAAAGATTGAACTGAGAGAACTGGCTTTGTGAATATGGAAAAACAGAGAAAACTAATTCATGTTATGGGGTTTTGGCAGCAATGTATTCACATAGGTGTAAAACTAAATATGTGGATTGGATAGAGTGTGTTGCCTCAATTTCTAATCTCCACAAACCAAAGTGGTTTTATGAATTGAGTAATGAAATACCTCAACAAACCATAACTTAATGTTTATCTTGCGCGTCTATATGAAATTAAGCATAACTTTGCAATGGTATGTGCCAAGCTCTACATTACTAGGATAAATAACCCCACAGCTAAACCTAACACACATTAGGAAATTTTAATTGTCGGGTCTATTACATTTCATTCTAATAGCTGAAGCGGAGTATTTGTCCTTTTTGTCCCAACCTGAAGATGGCTCTGCAACATCCTTCTTCCAGCACATGAATGCCACCTCACGAGCCTTCTAATGCTTGATTGCTGCCTCATATGCACCCAATTTCTCCCGCCTCCCCTTTGTAGTTTATCTTCCTTCCCCTTTAGGCGGATCTGTTCAACTAGAACATGGCACTCTTGCCATTAGCCGCTCTACTTTGCGTTGCTAATTCATGTTAACATAGTATTGGGCTTTGTTTTCCACGTCATGTGGTCATGTGGAAATCCTGACCAATTTGGGGCCAACGTAACAACCCATTCAAAGAGAGTGCAAGCCTATGTTTAGAAAAGAGAGGTCACAATAGGATAATTATGGAAAAACTATGTTCGTGCCTAGGAGTACAATTGTGATATTGCCTCTATTTTCTTTTAACTTTGTGGTTTTACCCTTGCTAATTTGAAATGAATCAGCCGTCTACCCCTGGTTTGGATGGCCATTAGATAGACATGGAATAAATGAATTAAACAAATTCGAAATCTGTAAAACCAATGTGAAAAGACCAAAATGTCCCTTATCCTCTTCTTAAATGGACAGGAGATACGCTCACAGATCGGTGCCATGTTAGGCCTCGTAGCTGCCAACGTGTCGCTTGGGTTTAAGTCTCACACTCTGAAGGTAAGAATGCGTGAGATCACTGCATCTAGGCAAGGGTCCTTAGAGGAAAACAATGACTAGTGTATCAGTGTGTCCAAACAAGGGTCACGTTTTTACATGTGCTTCATGTTATTGTCATAATGCTATCAAAATAATGCTAAGTTGCTATCAAAATTTTTGAATAATTTTTTAAATATTAAATCTGATTTGAAATAATTGCAAATTATGTCAAATGTGTTATTCCAAATTAGGGGTAAAATCACAAATGCTCATAAGAACCAGAGGCAAAATCATATGGGCATCTTTGTCCATTTGTACAAAAGTTAACATCGTTAGGGGAGGATGACGGAATAAGGGCAAAGTGTTGCTTCGTTTTGAAAACGAAGGGGTAAATTCATAAAGTCAGAAAATAGGGGTAAAATTACAATTTCGATAGAAAATAGGGGTATAAATGTAAGAGCCCCGATAATTATTGTGAGGAAAAACGAGATAGGAAAGCTAGAGTTCAATGAAACCTTGAAGCCATCATCCAGACCGGGACACTTGAAGAACCTCCTGCCTTGGTAGTGTTGAGGCCTATGATCTCTCCATGCGCTCAACAACGTGCACCAACCACAACGGCATTTCGGATGCTCGTGCCAAGCAGCCACAAATGTGCTATAGTACGCTTGATGCAGTACCCGAGCTGGTACCAGCCGCTTCGTCCGGTTCTACCTGGTTATAACTGCTACGGCACTACTTCAGCAGTATTTTTTAGCGAACGAAAAATATTTTCTTCTCACAACAAATCAGCATAAGCATCAATATTGAATTTGGGAACAGTCTCACTCTGTGTGTATCCAGCACACACACTCTATTAATTTTATCTCATTCTTACAAAAGAGTTCTCCTACAATCTATTATTTACACCAACACTCCCCCTCAAGATGGGCTAAAGATATCTAACATGCCCATCTTGTTACAACTCAACTCATTCTCACTAGGTCCTAGACCCTTTGTGAAATAATCTGCTAGTTGACTACATGATTTTACATACTCTAGTCTTAGGATTCCACTATCAAGCTTCTCCTTGATGAAGAATCTATCAATTTCCACATGCTTAGTGCGGTCAAACTGAACCGGATTGTTTGCAATATTGATTGCAGCTATGTTGTCACAATGAAACATCATGGTCTCATTTCTTAACGGCCGCAGCTTTTTCAATAAGCCTTTTAGCCACAACATCTCACAAAGGCTCAATGCTATTGCCCTATATTCGGCCTCTGCATTAGACCGAGCCACGACCGCTTGCTTCTTGCTTCTCCATGAGACAAGATTGCCTCCCACAAACACACAATAACCAGAGGTAGACCTCCTATCATCCCTGCTACTTGCCCAATCTGCATCACAGCATCCCTCCAAATTAAGGTGCCCATTCTTCCTGAACCATAACCCTCTCTCAGGGATTCCCTTCAAGTACCTTAAAATTCTGTAGACCACCTCTATATGCCCTGTTCTAGGGTCATGCATGTACCTGCTTACCACACTTACTGCATAGGAGATATCAGGCCTTGTATGACACAGATATATCAATCTCCCGACCAATCTTTGATATTTTTCTCTATTAACTGGATCTCCGGATTGAGCAATGGTTTGATGATTTTTGTCAATAGGAGTACTACATGGCCGACATCCAAGCATTCCAGTTTCTGTCAATAGATCAAGGACATATTTCCTTTGAGAGAGAACAATCCCCTTAGGCGACCTAGCAATCTCAATTCCAAGGAAATACCGAAGTGGTCCTAGATCTTTTACCTCAAAAGCTCTTCCTAGATTCTCTTTCAAACATTTGATTTCCTCCACATCATCTCCAGTAATCACTATGTCATCCACATATACTACCATAATGGTGATAAATGTCCCTCTGTTTATAGAAGATTGTATGATCACCATTGCATTGAGTGTATCCCATATTACAAACTGCTCTCCTGAATCTGTCAAACCACGCTCGGAGTGACTGCTTTAGCCCATATAGTGACTTCTTAAGTCTGCACACCTTTCCCACAATCTAACTATTTGCAAACCCCGGCGGGATTTCCATATAGACCTCCTGTAGGTCACCATGAAGAAATGCATTCTTCACATCCATCTGATGAAGAGGCCAACCAAAATTAACTGCACAAGAGATCAAGGTCCTAACAGTACCCATTTTTCACCACAGGAGCAAAGGTCCCATCATAATCAATCCCATATGTTTGACTATACCCTTTTGCAACCAATGTTGCTTTGTATCTATCCACCTCTCCTTTTGGGTTCTGCTTCATAGTGAAGACCCACTTACAACCCGACCCACTGCCTTCTTCCCTTTTGGAAGTTGGACCAGTTCCCATGTCTTGTTTTTCTGAAGAGCATACATCTCTTCTTTCATTGCTGGATTCCACTTAGGATCTTGTTTTGCACACTTCCAGTCCCTTGGAATAGGCACTGTTTGTAAAGATACAACAAATGCTCTATATGCAGGTGAAAGACGAGAATATAAAAGGAAATTGGCAATATCATGATCTGTACTAGGATGCTCAAAGCCATAACAAACAGGAGGTTTTCCAAAATTGGGTCTAGTATCTCTACGTTGTGCAAGAGGTAACTCTACATGTTCAGAGGTAGAAAAAACATTACCACTTGACCCAGATTGGGTCGAGGAGCTCAATGGAGAGAGATCCGAGGAGAGATTTGGGACGGTGAATTAGGCTGCTATGGCTATGGTGAACTGACTTGCTCCCCCTGACTTCTAAACCGCCTCCTTTGATACACTATTGGCTCTTTGGCAACTGTCTCCCCATTCTTTGTCCCCATTTCATTTGTAGAACACGGGTTTGTCCCAACAGTCACATCTTTACTCCTTTCACCAATCGTCTCCTCATTCCCATCAACAATCACCTATGCATTCCCATCGACATCACTCCTTATATCCCTAATAGTATCCTGATCCACCACCTCCTGAGCCGCAGGCACATCCATAGGGCAAGGGATAGTCCCAACAATCACTTCTTCTTGAGTCCCCCCCTTCATTCCGCACACAACCATTCTCCCCCTCTCTACTGTCACTCTCAGTGACGAAGAGAATTCCTCCAAAAACGGATCAAGATCCCATGGTTTCGTATAATATGCTTCAAACTCATAAAACATCACATCCATACTCAAACAATTTCTTTCCAACAGGGTCCCAACACTTGTATCCCTTTTGTGTAGAAGAATACCCAACAAAGACACATTTCACCGCCTGAGGATCCAATTTTTCTACTGAAGGTCGATGGTCCCTAACAAAGCAAACACACCCAAATACCTTGGGAGGTACTTTAAACTCTCGTTGTCCCAATAAAAGCTCAGCAGGTGATTTCATACAAGAATCCTGGACGGCATGCGATTGATTAAATATGCTGCTGGTCAACACAGCCTCACTCCAAAGATATTTAGGCACATTCATTTGAAACATCAGTGACCTTGCTACCTCCAACAAGTGTCGATTCTTTCTCTCAGCTACACCATTCTGTGGTGGGGTATTAGGACAAGTAATTTGATGTATAATTCCATGATTCGAAAGGTATGTCACAAAGTCATTGTTCACATACTCCTTCCCATTATCAGTGTGGATAATTCAAATCTTGGCATTAAATTGATTCGCAACCAACTTATGAAAATCTTGGAAGCATCAAAGAACTTCATGCTTACCCCTAAGCATGTAAATCCATGTCATACGGGTATAGCAGTGAATAAAGGTGACAAACCACTTAAATCCACTCAAAGATGTAACTGAGCAGGGACCCCAAACATCGGAGTGTATTAACATAAAAGATTCACAACTACGAAGACCAATACTAGGATAAGTTGATCTTGTATGCTTCCCAAGTTCACAGGCATCACACACAAGTTTGGTTCTATCCACATCCTTAAAAACATCAGGATACAATTTATTCAAGCTTTCAAAAGGCACATGTCCTAACCGGCAATGAAGCAAGAAGACCTCCCTTTCCTGTGCTCCAATAGCTGCTGCCAATGCTGACTCTGCCTGGTTGATGAACCACAACCCATTACGCCTGACTCCAGTCCCAATCACTCTCCCCGTCCTCTTCTCCTGAAAGATACAAAGATTTTCATCAAATGTAACAATGCATTTGAACTAATCAACAAGTGAACTAACAGAGAGAAGATTGACTAGGAAGGAAGGAACATGCAAAACAGATGATAAGCAAAGGGATGGAGTACATTCTATAGATCCTACACCATGAATGGGTTGGGAGGTGCCATCAGCAGTTTGAATAGTCTTAGAGTAGGAATATGGAGTGTATGTTTTAAAGGAACTAGATATGCCGGTGACATGCTTGGAAGCTCTTGAATCAATGACCCATTCTATGTTATGCCTATATGTAGATGCAAGTGCCTGTGCCTGAGTACCTTTGCCCAAGTGGGCATAGTTGGCAAAGTTACCAAAGTGATTGGTGGTGGCAATCACAGGACCAGCTGGATTAGTTTTGGAGATCTCAGATGATTTGATCTTCTGCCATTGCTCCCACTGCTTGACCTGCTCCCCAGTCAAGGTGAGAGATGGAACCTCCTCTATGGTAGCAGCATTGACTTGAGGACCACTCTCCATGGTAGCAACATTGGCTTGAGAACCACCACGGCCTCTGCCATGACCTCCTGCATGACCTTCTCCACGGCCACCTCCTTGATCACCACGAGCACCACCACGACCTCCACGAGTTCCACTCCTACCACCATAGTTTCTAAGTAGAGGACAATTGTAGCTCAAGTGTCCCTTCTCTCCACAGTTGAAGCACTCCCTCTCCGCCTTTGTGCTATAGGCCGACTTTATAGGATTGTTACTACTCATCATCCGAAGTCTACTCTCCTCAATGACCATGGCTGACACAGCCTCCTCCATGGTAGGTAGACTATCCTGGTGACACAAAGCAGCCCTCCTGCTCTAAAACTCAGGATCCAAGTTCCTCAGAAAGTGAGTCACCCTCCTGTCCTCTATCCACTTCTGAACATCTTGGGCATCCTGTGGATCTCTTACATGAAGTGAAGCATAGTGGTCCAGCTCTCCCCACAAGTACTGCAACTCACTAGCATATTGCTCCACTGGTCGCCCTGCTTGTTTCACTGCATCAGCCTTGTTTTGAATTTCCATCATCACCATCACATTCCCTCGCTTGGAATACATGTTACTCAGGGCTTTCCATATTTGTGTTGTAGTGTGCATAGCTTCCACCATTTTACTAACAGACGATGACATGGATGCCAATAACCACGCCACTATGGTAGAGTTTGTCGTACACCAAACTCTCCACTCGGGGCTAAGCTTGTTAGCCGGCTCAACACAATCCTCCGCCAGATAGTGCTCTACCCCTTTTCCTCCTAGAAGCACCTGTACTCTTCTAGCCCAACTCAAATAATTTTTACTTCCCTCCAGCTTCACATCGTTTGGCGTTAGTTCCAGCTTCAGCTCAGGTGGCCTGGAACCAATCATGCCCATCTCCAGGAGCTCCAAAATCATAGACCTCATCTCACTCTTGGTAATTAATGGATCACCTCCACCATCACTACCACTGTTATGCTCACCTGATCCCTTCGTTGCCTCCTCTGCCGCTTTCCTCTTTGCTTGCTCCTCCAGATCCATCTCCTCTTTGGATCAGGCCTCTCCCCAAGCACCGAACAACACTAGCAACCAAATCCCCGCAGCGCACTCACAAGCAGCAAGACTTTCACCTTCACCAAATCACCAAATCCCAGCTGCACCTCAACAGCGGCACCAAGCAGCAGCACTAACCACCTCAACGGCACCACCTCAATAGCAGCTCAACACAGACTTCTCACTCCCTTTCTCCTCTTCTTCCTTCTTCCTTTCCCTTCCTCTCTCTTCTCTTCTTCCTGGACTTCACCACGGCAACACCACAGCTACTCCAGCACCAGCCAGCCCTCCTCCACGCGAGCTGGCGCTCGCATGCCTCCCGTGCGCGTCACCCGTGCGCCCCCCGCGCTCGCACGTGCCGGCCACCCGCGCGCCACCTTGCACACGCTCTTGCCTCGCCACCCGTGCTCGCGCCGTCCACGCCGCGCCGCCGCCGCCGCCGTAACCCTAACCAAGGCTCTCGATACCATATTGAATTTGGGAAAAGTCTCATTGTGTGTATCTAGCACACGCACACACACTCACTCTATTCGTTTCATCTCATTCTTACAAAAGAGTCCTCCTACAATCTACTATTTACACCAACAATCAACATAAGCTAAATTTCAGCAAAACGAACAGGTAAGACTAAAATGTGGCTCGGAATTCAGAAAGGAGCAAGGGTGAGCTAAATATGTGCTTCGATCTGACACACTACTACAATGAGCAAAGATTGTGACAAGTTATTTTTTCTTTTTGAAAATATGAAGGAGAGTGCGTATCTTTGTTGTTACAACGCGAGGCCATGCAATTGCAGAAACAAGATTGTGAGGCCAATCAAGGCCGCCTCTAGCATGTCATGAACTAAATTGACCTTTTCGTTTAAACTACTTCAGCAGTTTCAGCAAACGAACAGTGTTTTCCTCTCACAACAAATCAGCATAAACATCAGCATAAGCTAACTTTCAGCGAAACGAACAGGGCCAGCCTCCACAAGTCAAAATAAATAGAAAAACTTACACAGGTTTCTGAATCACTGAGGCTGAGGGCATCAGTTATTTAATTGAATCTAGCACGGCGATTACATCCATAATTTGTAGACTGCAATGCATTAATGAGTGCTTTCAGTAATTCTTTTCCGGTCAACATATCAAACCCTTAACGCAGTATACTGTAAAAACAAACCACCCAATCAAAAGAACAGAGAATGCTGCCATCCCTACTAGGAAAGACCAGCCAGCCATTAAAATACCGATGCATGTCACAGTTAGGAAAGGTAAGAAAGACCGAACGAAAGACATTTTGTCCACCCATTGGCCATGAAACCAAACAAGGGCAGCCACATTCAAAACATTCCACTCCACAGAGCCATTGTAGGCAAGCCGGTTCAGGCAGTTTGCCACAAAGGAGTGGCAATTGCAGGTGAACAGATTGTAGTACTTGTGCTGGAAGCGTCTCATGCCCGATTGCAGAGCATCATCCCATGATATCGCTGCTCCAACTTCTGAATGATTGTAGGACTGCTTGCATACATGTGCTGCAAGATTAACAGGAAGGCAGCACTGGACACGAAAGGAAAAAAGAGTTATTCAAGAGGAAATCAACAAGTTGAAAAGAACTACAGGAAAAGGTCTGCCCAGTGACAACAGGTTTTTACACAAAAAAAAAAAAAAAAAAAAAAAAAAAATCAAACCAAACAAGATTATGAAACTTCAGAATTAAACTTTAAAGTGTCATATATATTAAAACAAGAACACCTCTACTGAAATAGGAAACCTACAAGTTCCCAAGAACAAGAATATATGGAATACAGGCTACTAAGAAAACAAAAGACAAAATTTGATCAAGACTTCCCAATATTGGTGAACCAATCTGTTTGGCTCTGTTCTGGTCCTGCTTTTCCTGTGATAGCTAGCTATTAGCTAGAACAATCACAGGATCAATTTCCAGATCATATATTAAATGAAACATCACATTTCTGGGCTCAACTTTTTACAAGTACCAGTTATGAAATACTTTACTGCTGAAAAGATACTAAAATAAGGGATAATATTGGAAAATAACAACTGTTTACGGATCATGTATGGAAATTAAATAAGAACAAAGGTTCGTTGATTTCATGCAGCCCAGAAATAAATTCAGAAATTGATGACAATGGAAGCTGGAACTACCAGATAAAACAAAATACTATGATTGTGATATGTTGGCAGGCAAGCATGCTACTCAGGATTATAGGATTATTAGGCTTTCTACACTTGGAAAGTAAAATCCAGATTTATTTTTAGTTCCATAGACCCTAAACCTGTTGACATCTTAGTGATGATTTAAATAAAATAAAGTACAAGATGAGCATCTATGTTGAATTGCATAGTCCAGAAAATGGAATTATTTTGAATCATCCTAACCTTCTTTCTGTCAAGCTGGAGGTGTCTGGCAACTGAACCATAAGCAAAATTATCCACGCTCACCAAATTTGAACCAGCAAAATCCAAGATAGCCCCATCCTCCTGACAGATTCCAACATGCCCTATGTAAGGAGCAAGCCATGAAACTACAGGAAGAGGCGTCCAGACAATGCAGCACGGGAACCTTGCTCTCTTTGGATCTATCTCATCAAGTGACCACAGATCCTGTAATCCATTATTTGAACTGACATCTTCATCAGCAAAATCAGCTTCAAGCTCCATTGAGGAAAGCACTTTAGGTGATATTAATGTTCTTTGTACTTGAAGAAACTAAAACAGCGTCTAGCTTCAATCTCACAGTTTATCAACCTTTACTGAAAAGAAGGAGCTATCGGGTTAGGTTCTCAAACTTCATGATTAAAACAACTGGTGAAGAATTAAAAAGGTGCCCCTAGTTTAGTACACTACCTTTACAATTTCATCTGGCAATATCACTATGTAATACATTGAATGTGGACATAAAAGTACAAGCAATGGGCCCTGAACCATATGAATATATTTACCACTAATACAATTTGTTCTCAAGTATAGTTCCTGCTCACTTCTCCCAACACAAGCCACCCAAAAAAAAATAGCATGTCCCCCATTTGTATTTTGGGCACAGTTGGACCTGGCGTTAATTTTGCTATATCCGAGGAGGCACCCATGCACAAATTGGAAAGCTATCATTACGTTCTTGTCAGCACCATATATTGGTAAAAGATTTACATAATTTGGACATTTGTTAATGTAGTTTTTTTTGTCTAACATATCAAGGGATCTCTTGAATACAATAGGTTCAGAAGATAGTTACGAATTGGTAAGGAATGGCAACTGAATATATTCCTATGTTTGAAGCATACACATTTGCACATCCAGGAGCTGCTGCTTCTCCCCTCCCCAATGGCCCAATCCAAACCTAGTGTACACCAGCGCGTCTTCCCGCATTTCAACGAAATGGTGAAATGGAATGCCGAGATCCGTTAAAAAAAGGGAAAATTGATTGTGTAGCATCGAAAGATCACGATCTCCATAAAATACCATCGAAAGTTTGCGTCCTTGTAAAATACCACCAAAAGATTGAACCGTGAACTGAAAATAGCATTACGTTAAAATAAAGCGACAGAAGTGACGAAACTGAAAGTAGCCTCCGTCACGCCGTCATGCCCTTACGGGTTGTTCTCGTGGACGCTCGCCGTGAACAGGAATGGCTCCTGCGGCACCACGTGCCGCAGCGCCCGTTCTTGCGCACGTCCTTGTCGTCCTGGCTCTCGCCCCGCCCGGTCTTGCCCCGCGCCGACGCCTCTCCCCGATCCCGATCTGTGTGCTTGTAACCTACGTGGGATGGAGGAGGAGGAGGGCCCCTGCAGCGGGACGTCCTCAACCGCATCAGTGACATCAAGGCGCTAGGCAGCTGCGCCCTCGTCTCGCGCTGCTTCCACGCGCTCGTGTTGCTCGTCGACTCCGCCTTCGTCCGCGTCGACTGCGTCATCCCGACGACCCGCCGCCCTCCTCCGCCTCCGCTGTACCGGGCTCCCCGCTGCACCAGGCGCTAGCTGCGTGCGCGGCGCGTTCGTGCACATAGCACGCGTCCTGGTCGGTGGCATCGCCACGCACTCGGCTAGATCCTGTCCCCCGCCGCGGCAGGCGTCTCCTGGCGCTCTGAGCCACTGCCCGCGCCCGTCGCGGACGTCTCCCACCAGTCCACCACTCGCGCTCCGAGGTGCTCCGCTCAGCTGCGGCGCCTCCACATCGAGCTGGCACTGACGATGGCGTGCTCCTAAAGTGGAAGGCCGACTTCGGCTCCACCCTCGGCAGCTGCGTCATCCTCGGCGCCTCGTCGGTCTCGTCCAAGCTGCCGACAGGGCCATGGTCCGGCGGTGGCAAAGGCGATGCGCTGCTTCTGGCTGCCGGAACCTGCTGTTGAACGTGTGCTTCTTCAACTCGGCAAGGACGCGTGCTTCTGGTGGAACCTACTAGCGCTGGTGCAGCGGTTCTACGAGCCCACGTCCTGACGCGTGCTCCTATAGTCCTATCTGGCAAGGACGTGCGCTAGCACAACCTGCGGGCGCTGCACGTGGTGGCGGGGTGCCGCAGGAGCCGTTCCTGCTCGCGGCGAGCATGCACGACAACATCGCGTACGGGCACGACGGAGGCTTCCGTCACTCCAGTGACTTCATTTTAACAGAATGCTACTCTCAGTTCACGGTTCAATCTTTCAGTGGTATTTTACGGAGCTCCAAACTTTCGGTGGTATTTTACGGAGATCGTGACCTTTGGATGCTACACAACCAATTTTCCCTTAAAAAAAGGTAAAGCAATGCAGAGGCATTGCTGGGAGTGAACACTGAACAGTACAGGAAATCGATTTCTATTGAGCTGGGTGTGCTAATCGCGCTCAGTGTTACGGGCAATTTAGTATCAAGTTCAATTTGAGGCGTATGGCCAGATGATGTATCCCTGCTCTGTCTGGTTCTATGTAGGCTAATCGGAAACAATAAAGAGAGAAGTGAATCGCAACACAGCTCCCGCCATCTCCCATCTCCGCCGACCAGAACAAACCAAAAGCTCACTAACTCAATCCCAAATCCACTTCCGAGCAGCCCGATATAACACGAGGCTGAGGACCGAAGCTCTAAAGAAACAAGGAGTAGAACTCACCGGAGGAACTGGATCGGCGCGCTGTACGACCCGCTGGCCGGTGCCGAGGCGGGGTCAACCTGGTCGGGGCGCCGCCGCTCGCCGTATTGGGCAGGAAGAAGATGACTCGAGCGTGCGCCGTGCCGCTGGGCTTGCTGCGGGGAAAGGAAAGAGAGTGGGGGAGGCGCGGTTATAGAGGAGGGTGGTGATTGTGATTAGTGATGTGGGGAGGAGGGAAATGTGCATGCACCTGGACCGGATGGGCAGCACCCGCAAATGGTAGGCGCACACGCAGGTGGCAGGCGCTTACTTCCTCGGTCGGCGTTCTTTTGTGCCCCCGTGGGCGGTGCTTACTCCATACTTGCCACATTTGCTTTCCCCGTAGCCGTAGCCTTAGCCGTAGCCGTAGCCGTAGCCGTAGGCGGTGCCCGGTAGCACGCACACGGGCCCAGGGACAACCGCGGCCGGTGCCATTTGGGCATTTTGCATTTACGGTGGTGGGGAAGAGAAGGCCTCGAGGAGTGGATACGGATGGAAACTGAACGCAAACGGCACATGAAGATAATTGGTGTGAAATTGACAAAAGCAGTGTTGAAAACGCGACGACAATGATTAAACGATTCGCTCCCATTTTGTTTGAGGACCAAAGCTTTCCGCCGACCGTATGAATACAATGACCCTAAAGATCATAGCGGAACATTATTATGTGTTGAACTACAAGAGAAAATCATAAAATTGAAGATATAACATTGGAGCAGCTTGTCTTACTTCCTCTGTCCTAAAGGGAATATAAATTTTGTTTCCCGAGGAGTCAATGATTCTTAATTTTGACTTAATTTCGGCTGATGATTTCTACGGTTGATAAATCGACTGAAGCTATTTTGTTGTGAGAGAAAAACACTATCCATGGCTGATAAGCCAGGTTGATAAATTTAAGCAAACAGGGTGAATATTGATATTTATAATGCGTAATAAGCATTATTAGATTAATCATAAAATATATTTTCATAATAAACCTAATTGAAGATAAAATATAGATAATATCTTCTATAAACTTGATCAAACTTAAGATTTTTTTTGACTCCTATTAAAGCGAGATTTACATTTTTATTTTGGCATGGAGAGAGTATAAAATACTGGAACAATAAACTGCACGACTGCAAGTTAAGAAAAAAAGAGAGTTATGTACGGTTGTGCCCCTATCCAATAAATGGAATGCCTCTAGAAGAGTTATGTGCTTCAGTAGTACTTTTTAGCGATCTTACCACTAGTGGAGAAATGAGATCCAGTCCCGGTTGAGAACCAGCTCTACTCCCGGTTTTCCAACCGGGACTAGCAATCTGGGACTAAAGATGTTGTTCTTTAGTAACCGGGACTAAAGATCTTCCCAGCTTTAAAAAAAATAATGCCTCCCACCGCTGCGCCCCGTGAGATTCGAACTCAAGACCTCATGCACTGCCTCGCGCGCAGTTTACCACCCCACCTACACAACACATCTAACAATGGATAGGATGCTTTCCTTTTGAACTAACCTATCGGGGGATCTTTAGTCCCGGTTGGTGAGGACTAAAGGGTCCTTTAGTCCCGGTTGGTAACATCAACCCGGACTAAAAGGTCACCCTTTAGTCCCGGTTGATGTTACCAATCGGGAGTAAAGGTCGGAGGACTTTTAGTCCCGGTTGGTGGCTCCAACCGGAAGTAAAGGTCCACCTTTAGTCCCGGTTGGTGTCTCCAACCGGGACTAAAGGTCCCCTGCCACTATGTCGAGCGCAGTAGCCGTTGGGCAGGGACCTTTAGTCCCGGTTAGAGACACCAACCGGGACTAAAGGTCTCTCTAATCCCGAGCGCAAAAAATGCCGGGACTAGAACCTATTTTGACCTCGGATAAAAGATCTATTCTCTACTAGTGTACAGTATATCAGCGTAAGCATTATCATAAACCAAATTTCCCGAGCACTGAAGCTGACTCTTCTAGAACTAGCTTTGCTTGCGCATCAATCTGTCTGGACTGGAGACGGCCAGACGGGGCAGGAAGGCAGGTCAGCGGAGCACCAAAATACTGCTCAACGGACAGCCTGGTAGGAGGATCTGCCATGCGCGCCGGCTTACGCCAGGGCGATCCGATATCACCTATGCTATTCGTGCTGACCATGGAGGTACTCAACCATGCCCTGCGTTGGGTGGAGGAGCACGGGCTCCTCAGCCATTTGCGCGGCTTTGTGGGCGGCAGGGTCAGCCTTTTACGCTGATGACCTTGTCCGCTTCGTCGCGCCAGAGGTGAGAGACCTGGAAGCGGTGAAGGCGGCCCTCCTAGCCTCGGGGCTCTTCTCAAACTTGGACAAGAGTGTCGCGACACCGATGAACTGCTCGGAGGAAGCTGTCGAGCGTGTTCGGGACATCTTCTCCTGTAGGATCGAGGAGTTTCCCTGCCGCTATCTTGGAGTGCCACTCTCAATCAGAAGACTGAAGAAATCGGAGGAGCAGCCGCTCATCGACAAGGTCGCTGCCCGCATCCCAAAGTGGAAGGGCGAACTGCTGAATGTTGCCGGCCGCACTGCGTTGGCCAAGGCGACGTTGTCAGCCATCCCAGTCCACATGGCGATCGCCTTGTGCCTGTCCCCCTGGGCCATACAATCAATTGACAAGCTTCGTCGCGGGTTTATTTGGAGCGGCTCGGAGTCCGCCGCTGCTGGCCGTTGCAAGGTGGCATGGGAGACTGTCTACCATCCTAGGGATCTTGGAGGACTTGGCATCTCCACACCCTGTTCGCTTGATCATTTCTGTGGCTTATAAGCCGGCTAATGCTGTTTTGTTATGAGAAAAAAACATCGTATCATAGCTGATAAGCATGGCTGATACGATCACGTCAACAAGGTGGGACCTACGGCGGGCGGGCGTCGCGCTGCGTGTACGGTTGGAGTGGCAAGCGCGTTCAGAGGGGCATCTGGCGCTAAGATCAACTGAACGTTCGGTGGTGGCGATTTTCCAGGCGGCCACAACGTACACGCTGGGGAACGGGAGATCGACATACTTCTGGTGTGACAAATGGCTCAACGGCTCGAGCCCGATGGCGATCGCGCCTGATGTCTATGCGGCTGTCAGTGTCAGGAAGAGGAAGACTACGGTGGCTGAGGCTCTGATGGGCGATGCATGGGTGCGTCACGTCACCGGTCCGCGGACAATGCAGGTGCTCCTTCAAATCAGCCAACTCTGTGATCTATTGGATGGCGTCCAGCTCTCCGAGCAGCCGGACACGTTCACCTGGAACCTGACGGCGGACCGCAACTACTCGGCGGCGTCAGCCTATGGCGCCATGTTCCTCGGTTCCTCGTCGCCCCTTGGCGCCAAGCAGATTTGGAAGACCTCGGCGCCACCACGTGTTAAGTTCTTCTTTTGGCTCGTCATGCACGGTCGCTGTTGGACGGCTGACAGGAGGTTTCGCCATGGCCTTCAAGAGTCCAACACTTGTGTCATCTGCGACCAGGAAGCGGAAACAATGGATCACATCCTGCTTGGATGCTCTTTTAGTCGCGAAGTCTGAGCTGCTTGGGTTCAAAGACTGCATCTTCAGAGCTTGGTGTTGCTGCAGGAACAAGGAGCGATCCAATGGTGGCTGAGCACTAGGAAGCGGCTGCCGAAGATGATTCGTCGTAGTTTCGACTCACTCTTCTTCCTCATCGGCTGGTTGCTTTGGAAGGAGAGAAATGGGAGGACCTTCAACAGGGAGGCAACGTCTGCAGCGCAAATGGATGTGCTCATTCATGAAGAGATTGACGCCTGGTGCTTGGCCGGATACAAGCAGTTGCGGTCGCTGTTGGCATTACTGTGATCAGTGATGTCTTCCTCTGTTGCTAAAGCTTTACCATGTAATCACAATCGTGTGTTATTCTGCCGGTTCGGACTTCGGTAACCTTGGATTACCATAGCCCCGCTTTTGTGAGAAAACTCATTTCTACTTAATGAAATACGTGCTTTGCACGATCGCCAAAAAAAAAAAGACCAAGAGTAGCACAAGTTTTCAGAGCTCCCGTTTCTTTCTTTGTCGACTGTTCATCTCCATCTTCTGTTGCCACTTTAGGAACCACAAAACTACTGTACAGTCAACTGTTCATCGCCCTAGTCTTCAACTTGTGTATTGAAAACGAAGCTGGGGAATGCCGCAGTCGTGTCCCTGCGAAGGAAAAGAAGTTGAATAAGCACACGTTCGTACTATTACTGGCAGACATTCAGAAGCAGATAGCAAATTAATTGCAGACATTCACAAGGCAAATGATGAACTAGCATCTCATAGGTGATAGGCCAATAAAGAAGACAAGCTGATGAAATGCACGAATTACAACTAGTATCCATACTTCAAGTGTGGCAGTGTCATCTTCTTTATAACAGAAGGGTGCTGCAATACAAAATCTCTCCACTCCTCTCTGCTAATCCTGTTGTCCTTATCAGTATCAGCGTCCTCAAATGTCTGCAGAAGGATACAGCGCGCATACCTCGATCAGAGATGCCTTCTACTTAATGCAGAAAGAGAAGAGGGGTTGAGGGGGGAACACAGTGATGATGGTACCTTGTCTATTATCGTTTCCACGAGATCGTCAGACAGCCCCAACTGTGACTCCATCAAAGTAGCAACTACCATTTGTTTTACCTGAGGAAAATAACATATATTGGTTTTATACTTCAGAATTGCGCCATGTCATGTCATAGACTTGTAATGTCTCCTGAAAAGCTCCATTACCAAGAACAAGCTTAACTATATTTCATTGTTGTCAACACTATTTCTATTCAAGACTGTAATCTATTGTAAATCAAGAGCATGTCCATATTGCTCCTTGAATTAGTAATCCCAAGCCTACTTTTTTTTACTTTTTTTTATGAAGTAACTACACGAGTTGCGACTTACCAAGCTGATATTTCGCTGAAAAGATCAAAACCTTACGATCATTACTAAAAAGGACAACAAAATAGGAACATCATGATTAAGCTTGTTCTGATGCTTGTAAGGGTTTCAACAAGAAAAACATTTTAAGATGAGGTGCGCACTGCAAATAACCAGTGCTCATCCGCAAAGGATGTCACATTAGTTCTCTCCAAACATTAAGGAACAGAGAGACTGACAGTGGCAATGCACATGCAGAAGTCTCGAATAGTTGAATACAAAATGTTGACACAGCTATACAAATCGCTGAAGAGAATTTGTTCAGATTATGCACTAACAAATCTATACACACCTCTTCACGCTCGATGAAACCAGTTTGCCTCAAGTCATACAATCTGAATGAAACTGAAGTGCGAAACAAAACTTAGTGGCAGACATAACTTAGCATGTCAAGAATTATCAATCAGGTTGATCATACTTACAATCAATTTTGTCTTCAAGAGGAGCATTTGGATGAAAGACACTTATTGCATGGATAAACTCATCAAATTCAATAACAGAATTTTTCTTTTCATCAAAAAGATCAAAAACCTACAGGAACAGGAGAAAGGAAAGACTCAAATTAGTGGACCTACTTGGAATGCAAGCAAATTTCAGAATCTAAAACTAAGGTTGCTTTCAGATGTTATGGAAGCTATCAAATCGTACAGTATTTTTTCTATTTTTTGGGATTTTGACATTATAGCATGGGAGAACCCAACAGGTAATGATGTGGTTAGTTGTGATGTCTCAACATCAGTATAACTTCACAAGTTATGCAATGTGGTTCCACCCATACTGCATGAAGCTTAATTTTTCTTAAAGAAAAAGATGAAACTGGGAAGTAAGTCATGAATGGCATCTTATCAAGCAGCAAAATCCCAGCTCCTTTGGAAGATTCTATAGTACAGCATTTGAGATAGATCCAGAAAAAGAACAAGTCATGTGATACTTGAGCAGCCAAAAAGGTTAAAGAATTTTTTAACCAAGAGGAGTGTGCAGACATTTTCATCTTAGTCATTTCCTTTTTCTTTATTTTTTCCATTTCTGTTTGACAACCGGGAGAGCAAGCTTTGGCACTTACTCTATCTAGAAAAATATTTTTCCCAAATGGTGTCTTGAATAATGCCAACTGCAGCTCCTCCTGAAAAACAAGGAGAACCTTTACAATCAAAATGAGGGTCCCAATTCCACATGGATTGGCTAAACTGGATCAATATCTGTTTGGAATGCACGAACCTCACTGAATTTTGAGGAACTTCACAGCAAAGAGTTTAATTGTGAATTGTCACAGGAATATAAAAGGCTCAACCGCCTAACCGGGTCGAAAAGTTTAAACACAAGCGCATGTCTGGCCAACCGGACCAAAAAAAAAAGTGTATAGGGATAAACATTTTCAAAAACCTTATGGATCAGACCGTCGTCGATGATGGAGCAGCTGATCTTCTTGTACAGCTCGTACAGCGCCTCCACCTCGTTCACCGAAACTCCCAGCAGCCACACGCGGAAAAACATCTCAGCCCACAATAGCAGACGGAAGACAACACAAAAGCCGAACAGGCAGCCGCATACTTACAGCAGCGGGACTCGTCGGCGAGCTCGGCTAGGTCACGGAAGGTGAGACGTCTGCCGGCCCGGAGGCGCGCGCATATGTCGAGCGCAGGCAGCAGCCTGCACGGGCACTTCTGGAAGCACCGCGAGGCCGCGAGCAGGACCGCGTCGACCACGGCGAGCACCGGGAACAGCGCCGCGCAGGCTAACTCCCCCAGCGTCAGGGAGCTCCTCGACGCCTGTAAATCAACACCGGATCAGGCCGAAATGAGAAATGGTGAGACCGGATCGGAGGTGGCGATAGGGGTACGGTGCCGCGAGTGTACTAGAGAATTCGAGGAGCGGCAGGAGTCCATGGGCCCCGGAGCCGGCGGTGAACCATCGATCGACCGGGGACACAAGGCGTCGTCCTCTCCGTTCGCGGGTTGTTGGGGCGGCCAGACAGGATCGTCACGTTACGGCGGCCGTCGGACGGAGCGGTGGGGGAACTGGGGATAGGCTGCCGGTGGAATGCTGATTTGGCAGACCAGGCTAGCTCGGTCGCGTTTTCTTCTCTCAGATCCAATCATTGACCAGTCCACGTCCACCACAGGATAGTTTGATCGATACCCACGCCAATTACAATTTTTCAAGTTTGACATACGTCAATACAATTTATCTATTTGAATAATTATTTTATAATTCTGTCCCTCTTCCACCCAGAACTATAATGTCCTACTAACGCTACGGTTTTATCTTGGAGATGCACATAAAAACAACAAATATTTTTTTTCCATAGTTCAACTTTTTACACAATTGTATTTGAGCATGTTTACAATCCGAGAAACACTTTTACATAAGAAGGCATAGTAAAGTTATTTCTCGTATTTACCATCTAAGTTATATTCTGCCTAAATCCTTAATCATGACTTGGAGATCTTTAGGGAAGCTGTCAAAACATTCGTTTGCACGGCTCTTCAAAATGTCCGTCAAGAATTTCATCCCTAGTGAAGTTGATAGTTGTACATGGCAGATAATAAACTAAATTATTAATTTCCTCGTCGTAACAGCCACTGACACCTGTCATTAATAAATCGTACCCATCAGTAAAACTCGCAAAGAGCAAGCAATGGCAGCGGCGATCCTGGTGCTGCAGGCCGGGCATCCAGCAGGCGCCCGCCTTTACCATAAATCAAGTAGTGTAGTCCTAAAAATTATGGACCAGTCTAAAAATCATTTTTCAGTAATGTATAATGATTAGATTAGTATTACCAATTGTTTATAGCTAAACTCTAAGACATGAAAGTCATCATGGATCAGAAAATTCACATAACCATGTGAAATGACATCAGGAATTGAGCCCTCCAACTTATTGTGTGATAAATCCCTAAAAATATATCAGAATTCAAAAACATAAATTTATCTTCACTGACTAAAATTCACTGCAGAATTAACGTGACTGAAAACATATAGTTACAAATACTCTAGTGCTTTGAGTTTGGCAAAGTAAAATGATACATCTCCGTTCAACCCGTTGAATGAAGGGTGTCTGTGTAAGCATCCAAAAGTTCAGATGTCATAATTTAGATGAAAGTGCTATTTATACTGAAAGCATACCTGTGATGTTGGTGATATCGCTTAGCGCATCGCGTGTATCTCCGGGCGTAGACATTGCGAAGTACCAGCGAGGATCTTCAGCCGGCAGTAGCGGCAGGCATCAGGGTTTCCTCCAAGATAAGATAACTGGGTACAGATTTAAGTGAATATTTGGTTTGGCACAGAACTAATTTGACATTATGTGTCAAATACAAATTTAACATACTCGTAAATTGACATACCTTGCATCAAAATTAAGCCGAAAACATATGTTATCTGTGGTAGCTATAAGCTGTGCTAGTAACTGAATCTGTAACCAGAGTACCAGACAGAGCACGTAACTGGAACTTCAAAGCATGGAAGTTAAGGAGGACTTCATAGTACGATCTTAAAAAACATGTAAGGGAGGTATATCTTTTTCCTTTTTCCTTTTACTTATTTTTTTTATATAGACAGACCCCAAAAGTGAGTACTGATATGTAGCTCAAGCATTCATCATAGTCATGCAATGAAATTCAGAACAATTAGAACAAACCAGGATTATTGATCATGGCATAGTTACTTTTGTCCCATCTGAATACTGAACTTTTGGTTTCGATAAATTAAGTTGTATATAGAATTATATAGTACATCAGTTCACAAATAAAAGGAATTCTGACATTTACAACACATGAATATTATTTAGTATTTTTTTATATTAGTCAAGTTGCAGTGTTGCACACCGACACTGGTACATATTGATCTAGAATGAAAAAAATATTGTCGACATCTAATCCATTAGATGGTGGAAAAAAGAAGTGACTTGTGATATGAAAAACTTAAGAAAGAAAAAGGCTCCATATTTACGAAGATACTTTATTTGAACTCAATGCGATTTTTTTTGCATATTATCATATTCTAGCACATGACTAAAACTGAAACTAAAACAAGACAGAGCACATGTTTTCTAGTTTTTTTAGTAGTAAGATAGTGTGTTAACTGCAGGCCAGCCTGCCAGGGTCAAGCCATCAAGCTCCTTTGGTTCGCTGCTAATTTTTTGCAACTTTTCACTCTCAGAGTTTTTAGAACAAATGCAGAGTATTTGTCACATTGGAAATCGTTCATGATCAGAGTTCAGAGTCCCTATGATACTGATAGTAGACATTGTGAAGTACCTGCGATGCAAATGAGATGTGGCCGGCCGATCTTCGCCGCCTAGTCCGTGAATCTGCACCCGGACCGTCCGAAGTTTAGTGGCTCACGCTTGCGTTAAATCGTGGCGCCGGGGGTTATATGCCGGCCGCCGCGCGAGCGACGGGCAGCAGGGTTTCCTCACCACGTCCGGCAAACTGAGGCAATATAGCGATGAAAGCGTGCCGTCGTTCAGGTAGATGAAGGTTGCACGTTGTGCGACGACGCGAGGTCGGCGCTCTGAGTAGCAAGATGCTATTGCAAATTGCAGTGACTAAGATTCATGACATATCTGAGAGATTTGCACTTATAATTAAGTGCCTGGGCAATGTCGCCGACGGTCACATGGATCTCGCCGTCGTTCAGACCCAGCTCACCAGGCACGGCGGCTTCCTCCTCCCCCCCGAAGGGTGTGGGCGCGGGTGATCGGCGGCGCCGCGCCACGACATACGGGCACTGCGGCTTCCTCGTCCCCTCCACGAAGGGCGTGGGCTCGTGCGGTAGGGGGCCTTATTCCCCCAGGGTGACTTACCACAAAACCAGTTATAGGCCCACATAGCCAAATAAATGATGCCATGGCATGGTCTATTCCTAGGGTCTGCACAAAATTGAGAAATGAGCAACATAAATGCAGGTCGACCCAGGTAGTTGTTACAGTACATTTTAATCAGCATTCCAGCATTTATATGCGACATTACTACGAGTCTTAGACGGTTCAATTTAGCATAGCAATGTGGTATCGATATGAAAAAACCGAGTGGCGGTTTTGCCTGCTAGCCTGGAGTTAGAGATGTTCGGCTTACCCTATATTCGGCTTCTTTTTTCAGTCAGAACAGTGTTTTTCTCTCACAACAATTCAGCCAGAACAGTGTTTTTCAGTCAGTTTCAGCCAAGTTTCAGACCAGCGAACGGGGCCTTAGCGGCCATGATTTGTTTGGTGTTAGCCTAGTTCGTAGCCAGATAGTGAGTATTCCCTGTCTTGAGAGTTCAATGTATTGGCAGCAAGCGTTAGTATATCTGAATCTGAAAACAATTGGGTATGTGGAACATTTATACAGCAGGAATAAGCAGTCGGTGTGCGACTGTAATCGGTGCGCAGTGGAAACAGAAATGCAGTCACCCAAAAGAGAAAGCGGTGGGCAAGACGAGATCCACCGACGCTGCTATCCTAAATGCGCAGAGCAAACAAGGCAGGTCGCGAGAAGGAGTGGGGGATCACAGCAGGGGACGGCCTCCACCAAACCCAAATGAGAGGCCAGGCCAAGCAGCGGAATCTAGCTAGGTAGTAGTACAGCAGCTAGCAAAAGCGTGAGCGAAGCAGAGGGGCGGGCAGGTGGTGCGCCAACTTAGTAGCAGAATACCTGGATGTATGGCGTGAGGAGGGAGAGCTGCAGCGCCCATCCGAACTGGACGCCCGCGGCGACCATACAGGCAAGCACGAGCTTGGTCCTGTCGGTGGCGCCGTGGCTCCGCGGCTGGTGCGGCCCCGACGGGTGCGGGTCCGCATCCTTGTGCGGCGGCGGCGGCGGGCCCGTGTCCCCTCCGGGAGCGCCGCCGTTGAGGCTGACGAGCTCCATCTCGGCATCGCGGAGGTGGCGGTAGAGCACTCGGATGGCCGTGGCCCCGGCGCCGGCGTCCATGGCGGGCGCGCCATAGATCTAGGGCCCGCGGCGTGTAGGGCGCAGTGAGATCTGGGGCTCAGGCAAAGCCGCGGCGGGCGGGTGGGCACCGTGGCTTCCTCCTCCTCTCTAGGAAGGGTGTGGGTGGGCGCGGGCGATCGGAATGTTTCAACTCCGAACGGCGCGGCGGCGGCCCGGAAGGTTTTTGAACGCGTTTTTTTTATTTGGTGATGATTGGCTTCGAGCGTTAAATCGCAGTCGCGGTGGGTCGAGGCGTGCGGCGTGCGAGGAGGGTGCGGGGTGAGAAGCCTGGCATCCCACATCTAATTGTGGTCATCGGATTTAGTTTAGGTGTCTTATTAGCCCTTGATTTTAATATAGATGAATTACTGTGTGTATTTTTCTAGGTGTACAATGGTTGGAGGCTCTCAGCGGAAGACTTTTTCTGGGAGACCTAGTATAATTTTGATTGATCCATTATAACAGAGATACCATTTTCTACACATCTCACGACATGGCCTACTACTAGACACATATGCGTACAGGAATACGCGTACAGGCCCACTGTACGGGAGCCGAAGTGGCTGTGCTCGCCCGCGGCGGAGCGACGGCGCTATGATCAGTATGTCTGTCATGTATGTTTTTGCTACGGTTGCTAGTAGTAATGACTCACACGTGTACATATTTGTCGTCACAGATTTGTTATGATTTTTTTGGATGGAATTAAACATGAAAATACCTAAATTCCTAACATAATCTTCTTTAGAAAACATATGGATGTTAGCAATCTTCTTCGGAAAAACAGTAGCAGCGGCGTTATGGGTTTAGTATTTTTTTTGTGTGTTCTGTCTTGTACTTGTACTTCATCCATTCCAAATTATAAGACGTTTTGATTTTTTTAGATTTATAACTTTTGCTATGTACTTAGATATACACTATGTTGCATAGCAAAGTAATGTGTCGGTACAGAAAGTGACCAACTAATAAATATTTATAGTTTTGCTGTACGTTGTGATCGGAGGTGGCCTAGCACTCAATGACACAGGATATATACTGGTTCGGGCAACGTGCCCTACGTCCAGTGTGGGTCGGTCGGTGACTTTATTCCGGAGCCCAGATGCTCGAAGTCTGTAGTGGGGTTACAAACGAGAAGGAGAAAGGTGGGGTGTACGATAGGCCCGGTCGGGTTCGACCGAAAAGGCCGAGGGCGACCGGAACTCCGCTACGAACTAGGTGTTCAAACGTGTGCTTGAAGGGTTGCGAACTATCGATCTAGTGAATCATAACTTGGGGAAGTCAACCTCTGGAAATTCGATCCTCCTCGTTGGAGGGAGCGCATCCCCTTTTATAGATGAAGGGGATGGTTTTACAGGTAAGAGGGGGAGAGTACGGATGTTACTAAGCCTTGTTGCCCATGCCGACGGGGACAGCCGATGGTAGGCGCCCACAAAACTGTTGACGTCACTGTAGAATGTCAGGTGCAAATGGGAGGTTGTGTTGGCTTCTTAAGGAAGGGTGGACGTCGGTACCTGCAAAATACTATTGGTATGTGAGGAGCCCCACCACGTGTACCAGGTATGGCGAACCCTGGCGCCCACTACCGATGACCAGAGGTATGCGGGGGGCTTTTTGCCGTATGGGAGCCCAATGGCGCCTACAATACTGTAGACACAAATGTCGGCGCCTACAATACTGTTTGTGTCAGGGCAGTTGAGGAGCACTGTTCCCGCAGGCGTGTAGGGTATGGTCCCGCTATCGTGGTTTGACTTTGTGCGCTGCCTTCTCCGTTCGCCCCTGGTCCCTTCCGAGCGGGCGCCCCCTGTTGGATGGCCTCAGTCGGTCCTAGCCGCGCCAGTCGGAGAAGAGCGGTAAGTAGGCTTCCTACGGGTCCCTGGTCGGAGTCGCGGGGTCGGAGTAGGAAGCAATGTTTTGGGCCGGGCGTTCCGATCGGAGAGACTGCCCGGAGGTGGCTGGTGCCCGGGGCGAGCGCTCCGGTCGGAGGTGGGCCGAAGAAGTTGATGAGCGGGTGTTCGTTCTTTCGGGCAGACCTTCTGGTCGGCGACCGGACTGTCCTTCCGGCCCGTCGTATTCTTAGACCTTCGGGCCGGCCCATGAACAACATGCTGTTTTCTTGGGCCGAGCCCTGGCGTGGAAGCCGGTCCCTGAGGGACCCCGGGTTTGTGAACCCGACAGGAGCCCCCGAACCCCTAGGCGATTCGAGCGGAATCGTCCGGGGGATTTTTTGTCTTGCCGGCGGGTGTAGCCCCCGAGCCCCCAGGCGGTTCGAGCAGAACCGGCTAGGGGGTTTTCTATTTTGTCAGCGGGAGAGGTTTTTTGTGTTGTGCCGGTGGGTGTGCGCGAGCACACCCGCGGGTGTAGCCCCCGGGTGGTTCGGGCAGAACCGGCTAGGAGTGTTGCTTCGGTGGACGTGCGTTTTTTTAGTTTTGAGATGAAATTTTGTTTAACCTTGGCTTCGCTGTGCAGCCGAGGGGATTTTTAGGCGTGGGGATGAGACAGAACTTACTGATCCTGGCGTCGGTGAGTGCCGTGGATTGGGTGAGAAGGTTAGTTCGGGACAAACCCTGGCGTCGGTGCGCGCCATGGATGGAGATAGCCTGGTTCGGATGCGTCAGAGCTCACTGATCTTTGGCGTCGATGCACGCTGTGGGATCGGGTGAGGTGGAGCCACTAACGGACCCAGGCGTCGGTGTGCGCTGTGGATCGAGAGAGTTAGTTTAGTTAGTTCAAAAATCGTACGAGCCGGAGCTCGTGGATCCTAGGAGCGCAGTCGGAAGTGAAGCCATTACACGAGTTTAGGAGTCGCAGTCCCAGGTTTTTTTTGGAGTGCAGTGAAGCCATCTGAAGCTGTTACGTGAGTTTAGGAGTCACGGTCCCAGGAGCAGTCGCCGGATGTCATAGATCCTGTCGACGCGAGTTCGGGGTCACGGTCCTAAGAGCCGTAGCCGGATGTCATAGATCCTGTCGACGCGAGTTCGGAGTCGTGGTCCCAAGATTTTTTGGAGCGCAGTCGGAAGTGAAGCCGTTTTGAAGCCGAAGCGTAGTTAGTTTGGTTAAAGATCAGACGAGGCGATGCTCATTGATCCTGGCGTCGGTGCGCGCCGCGGGACCGGGCGAGTTGGAGTCGTGGATCTGGCGAGTTCGAGGTCGTCGTCCTTGGCGTTTTATCTTGAGCCCCCGAGCCGTATCGGGCCTTTCGTGGGGGTCGATGTGAGTATTGTGCGTTACCCCATCCTCGGTTCCTCACAACCGGAGGGGCTGAGTTTTATCGCTTGTCCCGATCGCTCGGGCTCGAAGACTAGCTCGGTGAGTTCGCTAACGGGTGTGATCGAGTGGAATCTGGGTCCGTCGTTCGTGATGGGGTCGGCATAGCCCTCTTGTGACATTCCACTACTCCTTTGCCTGCAACCTGACAGATGCCTAGGTCGTTCTGGAGATCGACCCGGGTGGCCTAACAGCCTCCCCTCGATGAAGATTCTGTGGGCCTGGCGAGAGGTTCAGGATCGAACGAGAATGTTGAGATGACCCAGTCTGCCGGACCGGGCGAGGGCCGCACGGTGCTCATCTATGATTTTCTTCCCTGGCTCTGGTGGTTGCCCATGTCGAATGAGGCAACCGCCGCTTCGTGACGCAACACAGAGCGTTCTGGTGCATTTCGCTGCATGTGCGATGCTTAGTACCCGAGCCCCCGGACGGTTCAGGGCCCGAATCGTCCGGGAGGCGCAGGCGTATGAAATGAATGCGCGTATGGATGTATGAATGATTTGTAAAGAAATAGAGGGGGTTTTGGTAATGTTTACCTTGATGACTGGAGGGACGAGGCTCGGAGAGCTTTAGTCAAAAACGTCCGACCGGGACCCACGCTCGTCATTCGTGATGGAGTCGGCATGGCCCACATGGGGCATCCCTTCGCTTCCTGCCTGTGTCTCCATGTTTATCCTGTGCGATTCGATCGGCTCGGGGGATCGGTTGGTCTCCCGGCGGAAATTTCGTTTTTCGGTCTCCTTAGGCCTGGCCTGGGGAGGCGGGAAGCCACCCGCGTGTGGTGGCGCTTCGGTTCCTGTGCCCGTTGTGTGGTAGTGGTTGATCGTGCGGTAGTGGTGGGCCACGGCCAGGCCACGTCCCGTCTGATCAGGAGCCGTTCCATCGAGCAGGATGCGTCTCATCGGTTCAGGGCACGTCTCATATGCATTAAAGGGGAAAGAGAGAGAAATTCTCGCTCCGCCGTTCTGCCTCCCGTGATCGGAGTGTCCTTCCTTAACCGTTGTTTTTCCTTTAAGTAGGAGCAGGGAGAGGTTTTTCGTTTCGTTCTTTTGCCTATTCTTTATCTGCCGCCGCCGTCTTTCTTCCTTTTTGCCGTGAGCATTCCTGAGAGCCGCGGAGGTTTCTAGGAAAGAAGGGGGAGAGAGCGAGGGAGAAGAGAGGAACTCACCGATCCTTCGTGTTTTGGAGCGAAATGTCTGACTGGCGGTCGTCCACCGTGAAGAAGTCGGTGCTGGAGGCTTTCGTCGTGAAGGGGTTTCTACCGCCGCAGGAGGTGGCACACTGGAGGGTCCCCGGGAAGGAGGAGTTCCCACAACCTCATCCCGACGAGGTGGTTTCTTTCCTCACTTTCCATGAGCGCGGACTAGGGTATCCCGAGCACTGGTTCCTGCGCGGGCTCCTCAACAAGTGGCGTTTGGAGCTGCAGCACCTCAACTCGACAGGGGTGCTGCACATTGCTGGTTTCATCACCGTCTGTGAGGCTTTCCTCGGGATGGAGCCGCACACGGATCTCTTCCGGCTTTTCTTCTTCGGGAGAGCTATGGCGGACTGGAGTTCGACCGAGATCGCACCGGTCGGAGGCTTCGCCCTACAGAGGAAGCCACGTGTGGGAGGCTCGTATCCCGCATACACCCCATGTGACTTCAACCATGGATGGCATGGGGAGTCGTTTTATATCCAGAATTCGGTGGGGGCGCCGTTTCCAGCGTTTACCGGCGGGAGGCCGATGAAGCAGAAGA